GCACGACTTGTGAACTCCCTAATTGTGAATATTATATTAGAACAAAGGGTATGCTAGCTTTTAACTCTGACTATATGTAGTTTGAGTTTGAAATTTATAATAAATAAGTGTAAAATTTAACACAGAATGCATTACAAATATTAAAAAAAAATTAACATATACTCAATTTTGTAAGTAACTACACATTACTTTTATTTTCGTAAGTTTATTTTTGTATGCTTCCCTGAAGGAACTATTTTAATTTTTAACTTATAGCGAAAAATGTGTAAAAAATTAAATTTATAATAAATAAGTGTAAACTTACACAAATAAGAAGAAATAGCGTTTCTTATACTTTCTGGATTGTTTCGTTGTTCCGCTAGTACCGCTACATATTCAGGATACGCGCGGTTTGCTTCCACAACTTGTAAAGCTTGCATCCACTTTTCATTTATTTTATCATTATTTTCGTTTAAAAAAATGTGAAGCACGCAGCGAGATAATATTATGGCGTTTGCATTTTTTATGGAATTATCTACTCCTTTGCCAATACGCCTGAAACGAGCCTTCAAGTGTCCAAATGCGTTTTCCTCTACTCTGCGAGATTTAGATAATCTGTAGTTGAAGAGCTTTTGTTGGCGGCTTTGTGAAATATGAAACGGATACGGCTTCATTAGCTTGTCACTTAACCGAAATGCCGAGTCCCCAATTATAAAAACCGGTACATCAACATCGGAAATAGTTTTTTTTCAATTCGCTTAAAAGGACACATTCATCCAATTGTTGCTTTAGAGAAGATGTCTGAAAAATTTGAGAATCGTTGCAGCGTCCTGTGCTGCCGGAGCTAACATATATAAAACGACATCTGGAAAAAACAATAAATAAATAAAGGAACTATTAAAGCCTTTCAGTGCTTCTACCTGGCGTCCACCAATGCTAGCAGTACGATTGAATACCATCCCTTATAGTTGTGGTAGTCTGTAGCGTCTTCCTTGGGTGGGTGAATCTCAATATGACATCCATCTATTAACGATTTCATTTAGTAAAAATAAAACAATATTTACTTCATAAAAAGGTGCTTACCAAGTCCTCCCATACATTGGGGAAATCCATATGTTTCAAACTCTTGCACCAAGCCTTTAATTTTGTCTTCTGTCAACGGAAAGTTTTTTAAATATATTGGAGCCAAAACTCTCCAGACCTCATTGCAAAAACCCAATAATATTTTGCATACGGTTGCCTTTCCCACGCCAAACATATTTGCGATTGTGCGATAGTCGGAAGATGACCCTAGAGCATATAGAGCTATAGCAACTCGTTTTTCCAATGGTATCGCTTCTCGCATATTTGTATCACTTTTTCGCAGATCTGGCAGTAGTTCGC